TTGTTAGAAAAGCCGCTGATAAGGACAACCCTTATCTTCTGTGGGTCTCAAAAGGATCAATCAAAAATGCATTTCAATCTTTTTTTTACCTTTTTCTGTGTTTAGCACAGCGCCGTGATATGCACACACATCCAGGCACTGCCACATAAAAAAGGCCAACAAAATCAATAGTATTTTTAAAGACGAATAAAAAATGTATCTAAGTTCTCATCCTGTGCCCCATGTTCATGTATCTCTTTTCATACGCCATATGTGTCCAAACATTTCTCAATGCTTCTTTTCTTTCCTGTGAGGAAGGGTTACATAAATATATCCAATAAAATGTGGTTTGACGTGCCAGCCAATCTTACAAAACAGCACTTGACTGTTAGAAAGTGGGTCATAGTAGCGAGCAGAGCCACATCGTGGTGGGAGGTAGGCGTTCGGATTTCAGCTGGCTAAAAACTTTCTTTACATTTCCCCAAAACGTCCTTTTCCAGATTATTTATCATCTGGAAATCATTAATGAAGGGCATTGATATATTCTCAATGATGTACTCTTAATCCGTTGATATGCAAGTTATACTTTCAAGTTAGTCGTCTTAAGTGAAACATTTTCCTTAACAGTGCAACACATTCCTTGGCATTCAAGCTCTTATGTTGTTCATTGCACAAATACTTTAAAGAGAGACTGTCTTAAAGTGTGCTTTGTGGTCCCTATTTCAACAATTATCATAAATCACCCATCTGAAAGACTTTAAACCAGTGTAATTATACATTGTAAACAAGGAGGCAGAAGAAAGCAAACGAGGGAGAAAACTGAGTGAGAGAAGGACATAATGTGACATTACAGGGCGGCTCTGGCAGCCTGCACTCTCTACTGGCTACGCAGGAATGCCACACACACACACACACACACACACACACGCGCGCACACGCACACAAGGCATAGAAAGTGTGTGGCCTTGGCATTTCCTGGCTTTGAGAGCTGACTGTGCCCACGGTTGCTGTGCGCTCCTACTTTTAACCCTTGGGCCTCACTTTAGATAAAGTTGCTCTAATGCCCTTTGGACAATAAAACTGCCATAAACTTATATATTTCTTTATATTTTACACATCAATCTTGTTCCAAACTTAAATCCTGATCATCACTGCCAAATATTCATTAATTGTTGGAATTTTAACCCATAACATGCCAGTTTTTTTTTTACATAATTCCACTTTTATATATTCAAGTTTCTCACAAAAAATACATTTTGCAAATGACTTAACACATTATGATCTCATTTGGATTTGTACTGAATAGGGTTTGAACGTCAAAATAGAACCTCCATTAGCTGCTAGCTCAATTATTTAACCTTTAATCCCAAACCACGCCCTACACCCTACCCCTACGTTCGCGCGGAGGGTCCGCCATATTAAGTGCTGTTCCAAACCAACGAGTGTGGAGGGGGAGTGGGCTATCAAGCCCTCAAACAGCGAGTCTGCAGCGGTGCTGACTTGAGACCGGTCTCTACCTGACCGGACTCAACGCTGTGTGTGTCCGTCAGGAAACACGCTGTGTACAAGTAGTTCCAGCAAACATCCACTGATAAACTGCGATGTTAACAACCTCATGATAACCTCATATGTTTTAACTTAGGATCATACCTGTGTTTAGTCTAGAAAAAGGTAAATGTGTGCATTTTATTATAAAGTTGTGTATATTTACAGACTGTTGCAAAAACTAAGAAGCTTATAAACATCAGGTTTAAAACTAAAAGAGCTTTGAAACACAATTAAAGATGTTTGGAGTTTTATTTGAGTTATTCATTTAAACTTTTTGTCAAAGTGATGCTGATTTGAAACCGTTGTTACATTCAGTTACGGCATTTCCTGTTTCTGCCGGAGAGAGGGGAGGCCGTCCCAAAGCTCACTCCGTCACGGAGTGGTAGTGTGCAGGGCGTGGTTTGGGATTGGGCCCTAGTATGAGGCTGTTGCTGTCAACTGGCTGCTAACTGCTATCGCTAACTAGCTCCCTCCTGCTAATTTCAACACCCATTTGTTGTTTACAGAGTAGCTGCTAAGCAATAGTTACTTGCATTCAAAAGTCCACCCGAAGACGTCCTAGGGAAGATCTCGTCTGTTAGGTTTGTAAGCAAAGCTCTTGCACACCACCAGGCTGAAGCTTGCATACCAGAAGTGGTACGCGTTATTCAGTTTTGGGAAAGTCCGTAATAAAGAAAAGTGCATCAAAGAAAATGAATTAAAAGAGAACTTTGTCTGCTTTTAATTTGATTTAAAAGCAGACAAAGTATTTGCACAGCGAAGATAATCAGGAAGTTTGTTTCCATCTCCCTTTCTATCTGACTGCTGAGTGATTTATGAGCTAGCAGCAGCACTTTTAAATCTCCAAATGATCCTGAAGCCATTGTAAAGATTTAAGAGTGGGAACAATGTGCTCACTTCTCCTGGTTCTTGTTAGAATCTGGCAGCAGCTGAATGTCTCTGCTTCAATGTTCTTTTTGGGAAGAGGAGTGGAAAGGCCACTGCTGAAGTCCATAAATAATCATATGTATAATAATAGCAGACCATTTTTTTATATATCTGTATTGTAAAACTACAGCTCTCAGATACTTTAAATTGAGATAATGAGATGTATCTATTGCCCTAAAGTGAAGTTACTCAAGGAACCAGCCATCCTATAAAAGAAGACATTGACACTTTAATAGATACACTTTCTTTGTCTTGGCCACAGTGCTTAAAAAAAACCGTATTAAAACATCTGATATTGACAACACGTCAACTTTTAAAAAGACTCTTTAAGAATGATAGCGCTAATGTGCTTTTGTATTTATTATAGATTGCTTTATTTCTAAGATGTATTATAATAGCTCAGCAGCGTGATGGAGTCGGGAACCACGATATGCTTCATCCTTTGCTTTGATAATGACACGTAACTGATAAATATGCACATGTATGTGGGTTTTACATATAAAGCAGACGATGTTATTCATAGTTTATTGTTGTAATGTATTTCAATGAGTAGATTTGAATGCTGTCAGGGTTGGTAGATCAAATCAACATGAAATGCTTTAGTTTGTGGCTGCTGTTACTTTATTTGGCCTGCAGGGGCACCTGAGTGTCGGCTCTGAGATGTCTTTGCAGTGAAGTCATCTGCCTTACGAGGGGATTTCCTTATCTAGGTGTGGGTCCCTCCGTCGCTGAGGGAAAGACAGATTTGTCTTTTGTGTTTATCTCACACTTTGCTGTCCTGTTTGTTTACTGTTGTGAAACAGACAGGAAGTTTGTCGTCTGGTTCACCGCCGCACAGTGAAGAGGAACTCAGATTTCCAGGTGTGGTCAGACCGCCTCAATGTTTGCATTCACGGGATTCAGGATTGTGTCTTCGTGAAAAACACCAAAGAGGTGAATTAAAGTTATTTAGCTAATAAATAGATGTGACCCTGCAGGATGCAAGAAGATAAACAGAAACCAATGGACTATTTTTAGGCATTTGCATTTTAGGCCACTTTATACTTCTGCAAAGCAATCTGACAGGGATGGAACGATTACTTAAAAAATGTACTTTAAGATGACGTGAATAGCAACTAATGTAAACTTAGGAAAAAAATGGAGAAACAAAGATTTCTAGCATCAAAATGTCTGCTTAGTGTATTTTTAAAGAAAAACGTACTTAAAGGTGGGGTAGGTAATTCACTTCAGAAACACTTGTTGTTATATTCCATGGATCAATGCTGTAAGGAAGTCTGAAGGAAGGGGCAGATTTTTTTTCGGATGCGTACTTTCAAATTCTAGTGCACTCGAGCTGGTTTCTCCACTCTTACCTACCCTACCTTTAACTTAAATAGGAATACTTCTTGCACCCCCGGTTGTGTAATGGACCTATTTGGGCAGAAAAGAGAATAACGAAGTACCATAAATCATGTACACTAGTATGTTGTACTCAAACAGTTTCTGAGCTGTGTAAGACAGGGCAGATCATGTATTATAGCAAGGGAAATGGCACAATTATAAAAATACGGTTTCTGTTTTACTAGGATATATTTCTTTTAAATTCGGGTGCTTCTAACAGACACTTTGCTATGATTTAAGTCCATGAAACTAACATTTTGTCTTTTGTGTTCCTTTGTCATTATGTTGCTATAAATCCCAACATTTCAACCAACATAAGAACCCAAATTGTTTCTGTCTTGCCACAAACAAAGTATGTCTTAAAGCTTCTTGGTCTGAAGGGGTTTCAATTATTTAGAATCCTGAGCTTTAAGATCGGCTGCTTTTAAATGAACCAGAGGAATGATCGGCATCGTTTAATAAAAGGTCGATTCGCGAGAGGAACGCTCTGCATGTATCCCCCTTCACATTTTTGCTGCTGTGTCCCGAGTATAAATTACACGGCAGCTGATGAATAGAAAATGCCAGAGTGGTTAACCAACATTTTTCACATCGGTGACCTACATAGCTGTGGGCTTTCACAGAGACCCACCTGTTGGAGCCTGGTATGACTGTGAATGGTTGAGGAGCTAAAAGGCAAATGATTATATAAAAGGTCATTTCATCTGAAGAATTGGAAGAATGCAATCCATTTGTTGCCAGGATCATACGTTTTGAAAGCTGATTATTATTAACACCTTCAAGCTTAATCTATGGTGTTTTTAGTATTTGGTGTTATTCAAATTAGATTTTTTATTTTTGATCATTTCTGTGCTGCTGTATTGATGACAGGGAACTCCTTTATCTTAGATTCCTGTCGACCCGAAATCATCAACTCGTTTAGTTTTCTGACAGCGTAGCTTAAATCAGTCTGAGATTTGTTCATATAAAGGTTTTGATTTCGAGCAAAGTAAAAGTGATTTTGATTTGTTGTTTATTTAAAATGGATAAAAAGGGTCGTGTGGTTAGGGTTCTGGCTGGTCAAATACTTTCTACCTTTTCCAAACTCTTTTACCCATGGTTTTGATAATATTTAAAATCTCAGGAACGGTATTATATTTCTCAACATTTCTTTATGTGTTTCACAGGAGATGGCCGTGCGGGCGCTGAAGCAGACGGGAAGCAGGAACATCGAAGCGGCCTTAGAGTACATCAGCAAAATGAGTTACCTCGACCCTCGAAATGAACTCATCGTCCGCGTCATCAAGCAGACTTCACCAGGTATGAAGACCACCTCAATAAGTTGACTTTGGCTCGTCGATTTCTTTCCAACTATTTATTTAGTTACTGTCATCATTGAAAAGTAATCAGAAGACAGTGCAGAGATAAAATAATAGTTATAGTGAATCAAATAAAATACAAAATGCAACCCTAAGAACCACGTTGACAGTACATTCATCTCCTGATCTCAATATAAAATCAATAGGCATCTGGTCAACGTGTGTAGGTGGTCAGAGATCCATTACAGGTTTTCGAGTTCTCAAAAAGTGGTGCGCTTATTTTTTAAAGCATAACTTCTATATAAGTTGAACTTTGTGGTAGATTTTATATTCTGTTCCTATATTTTCACCACATCTGTATTTACTGTATGTTGCTGATTGGTCTTTAGCAACACATTCGGCCCCCAATGTACAAAGAAAGGGGGGAAAAAACAAAACAATCTTTACAAATAAACCATCAGATCATGGTTAATATTTTGAGTGGTCTTTTTGCTTATCCTTTCAGGAAAAGCTGGTATGCCCAACTCGATGGACCACCGCCCTGCATTAGAAGCTCCAGGTGAGACTCAGGGCCTTCCTCCCTACCACCCGATGGGGGCCCAAATGTACGAGGGAGGCTACGGCCCTGAGGGGGAGATGCCCCGACCCTACATGAGCGCTCCCCCCGTAATGAACTACATGATGCCGCCACCGTCCGGTGCATCACAGGGTCCTGCCATGGGAAACCCGATGGGCCGCCCTCCCAGTATGGGCTCCTACCCTCCAGTGATGGCCCCTCAGAACAACCCAGGCAACCCCATGTACCCCCCGGGGGCCCAGCAGAAAGGCTACCCCGGCGGCATGGAGCAGCACGGAGCCATGATGAGCTACAACGTCCCGGGCCAGCCGCTGCAGCTCCAGCCTCCTCCACCAGGGGGCCCCGTCCCCGGCCCCCACTACGACTACGGCCACGGCAGGCCTCACATGATGGAGCCCGCCGGGTACGGAGTCAAGAGGACCGCCTCCTTCCAGAACAAGATGGCCCCGCCCCCCATGGCGCCCCAAGACAACTACGTCAACATGCAGGGGAAGAACATTCCAGGGGGAGGGTATCCCGTTAACCTGTACCTGCCCCCCCACTCCCACCCACGGCAGGCCTCCCCCACGTCCCACCAGGTCCACATGATGTCCCGCTCCCCAGGAGGTGTTGCATCCATGGGCCCCGACTTCTCCGACATGCCCCAGGGCTTGATGACTCCATCCAGGGCCAGTTTGAACCTGGATCTGTACGAGCACCACTGGGCGGGGCCTCCGGGTCCTGAAGGAGCCCCTCAAGCCAGGCAGCCCCAGCCTCAAGGCCCATTCAGGGGGGAGGTGAGAGTCCCCAGCAGAACCAACTCCTTCAACAGTCGCTCTGCGGGGCAGAATGGTGTCCGGCCTGCGATGGCTGTTCCTCCATCAGCTGGAAAACAGGACCCCTCGCTGGGCCCTCCGAACACCATCACGGCCGTAACATCCCCGCCCATCCAGCAGCCCGTGAAGAGCATCCGTGTGATGAGGCCGGAGCCCAAAACAGCCGTGGGGCCATGTCACCCCAGCTGGATGACAGCTCAGGAAGCAGGGGAGCCTCTGGCCTACATGCCGGAGGAGACTTACCCCCTGGAGCCGGCTCAGGAGCCCCGCTGCCCGCCACCACCGTACCCCTAAAAACCTGCTCATGTCGGGGCCAGAGGAGGCAGGGATGTGTGGAGCTCAGGATCACAGCAACCCTGCAAGCAGGAGCTCACATGGAGGCAGCGGGGGGAGCGGGAAGACAGAGGAGAGCCAGCAGGGGAAGGAGAAGACCAAGGTGGGCAAGGGAGAGAAAACGGTGAAAGACAAGAAGCAGATCCAGACATCCCCTGTTCCCGTGAGGAAGAACGGGCGGGATGAAGAGAAGAGGGAGTCGCGCATCAAGACCTACTCGCCTTTCGCTTTCAAGTTCTACATGGAGCAGCACATAGAGAACGTGATGAAGACGCACCAGCAGAAACTGAACCGCAGGCTTCAACTGGAGCAGGAGATGTCAAAGGTAAGACCACCCAGAGAGAAAAGACACTTAGTTAAACTCACTGTGAAGATTTAGGTCTTTGAAATGAACATGCAAGTTGTAGTGAGTGTCTTGAGCACCGTGCAGCAAAGCATATAACCCCTACATATCCTGTGATTTGATTTAGTGAACTTATGGAGCTCTTGATATCCTCATTGCAATGCTCGGCCTCACTGGAAGGCATTTTTTAAATAGTATCAAAAGGAACACACCAGTGGTTCTGCATTATTTGTGTTTTATTTAGTAAGAAGTCAAAGGTTTTAACAGAAAGTTCTGCAACACTCAACAAGCAAAAAGTAGAACATTAACGATAATAATTTGTAAAAGAAATAATAAAAGAAAGGTATGAAAGATCACAGGTGTCTTTTTCCATCCCAAAGCCAGCAGTAACAACATAAGAATTAGACAAACAATAAAAAACAAATACGATTAAGAAGTTAAATTAAACAAATACAAAAGATTACATGTACCTAATTAAAAGGCAATGGCAGGCAGTGTATGTTTTGTTTTCAGTAGAGCAGACATAAATTAGTTTTCTGGCAGTTCAGGGAAATGTCAGAAGAATTGTTCCTCAGGACTTTTGTTTTAGACAAAAACATCTTTGTCTTGAAAAGAAAAGCCAATGAGTTCACACTTGTCCCGAGTGATGACTTTGACCTCTGCCCTTTTCAAGTACTTTAAGTGATTGAAAAGCATTTTTTGAGAAAATACCACAGTCAGACCCAGACAGAAGAATTAGTTGAATATGACGGCAAAGGTCAGGGTGCCGCCGGGTCAAGCGTATGGGTCGTTGGTCGTTGGTTATAATAAATGCAAAAATTGAACTTTTTTTTAAAGTTGCTTATCAAAGCGTTGTTGTATATTCCCGTCATGATCTTTCTTTAACCCTTTCCTTGCTGCCCAGGCCGGCCTGTCGGAGGCAGAGCAGGAGCAGATGAGGAAGATGCTGAACCAGAAAGAGTCCAACTACAACAGACTGCGCCGGGCCAAGATGGACAAATCCATGTTCATCAAACTCAAGACTTTGGGCATCGGTGCGTTTGGTGAAGTGAGTCTGACACGTAAAGTGGACACGGGCGCACTTTACGCCATGAAAACACTGCGCAAAAAGGATGTCCTCAACCGCAACCAGGTGAGTTGATGCATGATTGTTCACATATGGGGAAGTCCTGAGTTTGAAGCATGTTTTGACAGACACGATCATTTTCTTTAGTGTATTGGTGCTGACATGAAGATAATTAAAAACATCTTTAATAACTAAATAGTAAGTATTGCAAAAACCAGAGAACATTAATATAGAATCGAAGTACAATACAAAAATAAAACGGTACTCTAAATGTTTGGAAGACACATAAATATAGAATAGTAAAAAAAAAACACGAATGAATTTAATTAAAACATTTGTGAGAAATTAAGAACAAAATACTTTAATATGTAAAAAAATACAATAAAACTTAGATATAAACAGAGTAGTGGAAAATTAAATGTAATACAAAAATAAAGTATAGTGAAAAAACAGAGAACACAAATATAGAATAGAAGATACAATATATATATATGTGAAGATAAAATGAAAAAATCTATAAAATATGTGTAAGAAACATTAATACAGAACACAAGAGAAATACAACGGGATTAAAACTTTTTTATATAATAGGAACATAAATAGAATTGAAGAAAGATATGTATTTTAAATCCCCCCCAAATAATCATAACAACTTAGGCACAGCCAGAGGCCTGTACTACCAATCCAGTTCAACATGGATATGTTTGAGTTACCCGGCTTACCTAACCCTAACAACGCGCTCTCGCTAAGCGGTCCTATGACGCTGGTTATCAACTCGGTAACTCAAGCCAGGGTTTCTCTGTCCGGCTGAGTGCGCGTTCACATGAAAGGGCCGGGGTTAGCAACATTTGACCAATCACAAACATGGAGAAGCGTACTGACAGCGCAGCGTCATACTTCCTGAATGAAAAGTCAACTATAATATTAGACATATGAAGAAGTTAAACTTTAAACATCCATGACTTAAACACTTGATCCAGGATAAAAGCCACATAGCTGCACCGGCAAGGTGAATACAGCTGGTAACAGAACAAGTGTTTGAATGCGTACATTAACAGGTTTATGATATCACTGCCCCGTCTAAGACACGATCTGACTTTAATTACATTTGTCTCGAGTGTTTCGTCAACTTAATGTGTTGCTTAAAATAATACTTCTGCATACAGTATGTGACACAGAGTGTTGCACGGCCAGATACGGCTCAGCTGACTCAGATAAGGAAATATATGATAGGCCTACAGTATGAAGTGATATGCCGCGGACTGTAGGCTACTTAATGTTACTCTGATCCGGTTACTTATGTTGTGGCAGATATTTAAGTAAGCTTTCTTAACGCTAATGTTATAATAGTCAGATTGCTCTGAAGATGGAGGTGATATTCTATTAATGTTCACGTTCACACAGTCAGTGATTTTTGCCGGCCGTCTTTCCTGCGACGGCAGCTTTTCTGTATTTCCTTTCTCCTGTAATATGACTTTTACATTACATTGCATTTAGCTGACGCTTTTATCCAAAGCGACTTACAATAAGTGCGTTCGACCAACAAAATACAAACTTGAAGAAAACAGAATCATATAAGTACATCAGGCTTCATAGAGCAAAAACATTTCAAGTGACTTGATCGCTTTAAACTCCGCACACTGAGCTCTGATTGGTCAGCAGGCAGTGCTTTCACTGAGTTGATCTCCGGAGCAGGTTAGCCGTTCAGCATAAGTTACCATGGAGATCTACCCGGTAAGAAGTGAACCAGCGCCGTAGGACCGAAAACCCAGAGTTAACCCTGAAGTTACCTCGCTAAGCGAAAATCCGGCTTCGTAGTACAGGCCTCAGGTCTGTTAATATTACTGTTACTTAAATGGATGGTTTTTTTTGGTGCAGGTGGCTCATGTGAAGGCAGAGCGGGACATCCTGGCGGAGGCAGACAACGAATGGGTGGTGCGTCTCTACTACTCCTTCCAGGACCGCGACAGCCTCTACTTCGTCATGGACTACATCCCCGGAGGAGACATGATGAGCCTCCTCATCAGGATGGGCATCTTCCCCGAACATCTGGCGCGCTTCTACATCGCAGAGCTAACGCTGGCCATCGAGAGCGTCCACAAGATGGGCTTCATCCACCGAGACATCAAGCCCGACAACATCCTGATCGACGTGGACGGACACATCAAGCTCACCGACTTCGGCCTGTGCACCGGCTTCCGCTGGACACACAACTCCAAGTACTATCAGAAAGGTGAGGCAGTTTGTGATAATGGATTAGTGATCTAAATATGTAAACATACACTTTGAATGCATGCAGGATTTAACACCGTTTTTAGAAGATTCTATGAGGATACAGTGGACTGGAAACACGCAACAATATACTGTTTGATCCCATTGAAAAGGGCTGAAACTAACCATTTGTTTAAATCGATGAAGTCCTAATGGTTTTTTTTCACAACTTTGCAGAACCAATTGTGGCTGTTTCAGCTATTCTTTTTTGTTCTACCTAAAGTCCAAATACCCTAAAATATGTTCGTAACATTGATATATGATCAATAGAAGCAGCAAAGCATCTTCTTGGAGAGGCTGGAGTCAGGTTCTTTTTGCTTTGAAAATGTCTTAAATGGTTGAATGATTACCAAGTAGATTAACTGATTGATTCATCACCTGACTATTTGAGCTCTACAGTGAAATTAAAAGCGATATTCACAAATGTTCCTTAAAACTAGGTCTCACTGATTTCTAATAGAAATTATATTTCAAATATTTGTTCTCACCCTGAAGCTCGAGCTTCAATTGCCCTTGAAACTCCAAGTATAGCAAAAGAAAATAGCTTGCAGGGGCATTTCAGACACATTCATACCTGTCAGTATGTCAGCTTCCAAATCCAGACACTTATCTTCTTCTGGTCGCTAAGTGCTTCGCTCACGGGCAATCGTTTTAACTTTTTCTTTCCCATGCAGCTTATCAGGTCATTGCGTTGTTGTCATTGTTGCCCTTTTTGTGCCTGCAGGGAGCCACGTCAGACAGGACAGCATGGAGCCCAGTGACTTCTGGGACGATGTGTCGAACTGCCGCTGCGGGGACCGGCTGATGACTCTGGAGCAGAGAGCGAACCGGCAGCACCAGCGCTGCCTCGCGCACTCTCTGGTGGGAACCCCCAACTACATCGCACCAGAAGTGCTACTGCGCAAAGGTGGGGGGAAATCTGAAGGTATAGTTGAAACAACTTAATGTTTTAAATGAAGTGTATTTTGAATGAAAACATTTTGAGTATTTAACCATCCAAATGTAGATGCTGATGCTGCCTTGTGTAGAGCAGCAGTCACTGTTTTGATAGCTGATGTTTGGAAGGAGGGAAAATGTGTGAATATGCTCAATAATTCAAAGGTCATCTTGTGAAAAGGTTAGCACATGTTTCGACAGGGGACATCAACAACATTAACCAAATGCATGTTTGGTATTTGCATTAACCAATTGATCATTTCAAACCATGTTGAACAAAATATGTATCGCACAATTTATTTTCTTTCACTTCAAATCAAAAGTATGTGACTGTACAAATACATATAATTTGTTTTGTAGTATGTGCAGTTGAGGATGAATCTGATGTGTGTTCTGTGTTGCAGGTTACACCCAGCTGTGTGACTGGTGGAGCGTGGGAGTGATCCTGTTTGAGATGCTGGTGGGACAGCCGCCATTCCTGGCCCCCACACCTACTGAGACTCAGATCAAGGTCAGTGAGGAAGAGAAATATCCATATAGATTTGAATTAGATTTGAATTAATTAATTATTCACGATTGATAATGTCAGAAAACAAACAGCAATGAAACGCTATTTTGCCTTAATGGTCGAGTGTCAATGGGATGAGATAACTGGAACTTAGGAAGTAAACTAAGGAAGGGTAAGAGGGCACCTTATTCCAAGTTTTGCCAAGGAGGAGGCCCACATTGTTAGACTTTGAAAACCACTAACTTCTTTGCAGATGATGAGATCACACAGATTAATAAAATGAAGGATAAAATCAAAGATAACTATAAAATAAGAAATTAATTCAAATGAACATATATACATATTTGGTCTTGTGTGTGAAAACGGTGTGTATTTTATGTCCAGTAATTGTGTCACATTGTTGACCCCTGTTGAAAAGTCAACGACGGTTTGGAGGGTAATGAATGAAATGTGTGTGAATCCAACAGATTGAGTATGAGATCTGACATTACTGTATCTGTTGTAACCTCATGTGCTCTGTCCCTCCCCTCTGCAGGTGATTAACTGGGAGAGCACCCTGCAGGTTCCTGCTCAGGTCAAACTGAGCCCGGAGGCCGTGGACATCATCGGGCGCCTCTGCTGCTCCGCGGAGGATCGAGTGGGCTCGAACGGCGCCGGCGAGATCAAGGCTCACCCCTTCTTCTCCCAGGTGGACTTCACCAGCAATCTGCGGCAGCAACCGGCCCCTTACCGGCCCAAGATCGCCCACTCGATGGACACCTCCAACTTCGACCCCGTGGATGACGACTGCGGCCCCGGGGCGTGGAGCGACAGCGGGGACAGCAGCCGGGCGCTGGACATCCTCTGCTCTCCCAACGGGAAACACCCGGAGCACGCCTTCTACGAGTTCACCTTCCGCAGATTCTTCGACGACAACGGCTGCCCCTTCCGCTACCCGAAACCCCCCGAGGTCAGCGAGGCGTCGCCAAGCGTGGGCCCGGAAGAGGAGGACGAAGAGGAGGAGGAGGAAGAAGATGATGAGGATGAGGATGATGATGATGACGAGGAAGGAGAGCAGGGGGAAGGGTGTGAGCCGGTGTACGTGTAGAGCGTGTGTGTGTACAGGTGTGTCTGTGTGTTGATGCATATCTGCCATGTGTGATGGCACATCACCCCCTTGTGGAAACTATAGTGAGTTCACAATGACTTCAAATACAAAACTCCCCTCATCCAGGACCAAGGAACGACATTCTGTGTGCTCGAAGGGTGAATCGGTTTGAAAGGATTTTACAGGATGAAAGGATTGAATCTTGAGAACGTGAGGATGATTGGATCACAGACAAGATGTCAACTTCGAGGACTGCTTCTGGATCTTTCCAGCGGTTTCTTGTCCCATTCCTTCCACCCTCGTGTCTTACGGACGACTGCAAAACCTCCGCGGTGATCTCCTGACGCAGGAGCTGCTTCACGCCCCGATATCGGACACGCGATGCGACACCTGTTTACTGTTAGACAGTGAAGTAGGGGAGACTGAACAAGCAACACGCCTCTTTCACAGCTGCTGCAAATTAAGCTACAGAGACACACTGCATTCACGTGCACACACTCACACACATGCATCAGTACAGTTTGGGCTGGATGAAGAAATCTCTGCAGGAGGATTTCAGTGTCAATATTTCAAGAAGTTGGCTTCAGATTCCTCTGAGAAGCGGCCATCTTGATATCTGCTTTTTGTAGCAGATCAATCTTGAAATATTGGAATTAACTAAATGAAATGTGTTTGGTTACATATATCTTGTATATCCACAGCTGCCTCATTTTGTGCCAACTGTAGTTCACCGTGTTGTTTTGTCCTTAAGACGGAGCCTGATCCTTCTTCCCTAAGAGGTTACTGTTGCAAATATCTTTGTGTTTTTAAGATGCTTCAAGTTACTGATCCTCTATTCTAACTAACCATTTCAAAGCTCAGCTACAAAAGCATTTGATCATGTATAGATTTCACACCAGGCTAAAAAAATCAAGCCTAATTCGGTTTTAGTCGGATCAAAGACTGAGGTGTTTACTGAACCTGACGTTCAGTGGACTTCACACAAAGAATTGGATCAAGAAAGCCGTTTTTAAAATGATACTTCTTGTTTGCTTTGGGGGGCAGAGGACACCCAATGCTTTGCTCTAAGGAACAAACTGATGAGTAGAAAGAAACTTTATTTAAAGAAATTAAGAGAAATCAAAGCCAGACCTGAACCTGCCGGGTCAGATGGTGCTGAGTTGGAATCAAAACTCTAACACACACACACACACACACACACACACACACACACACACACACACACACACACACACACACACACACACACACACACACACACACACACACACACACACAGCACACTTTTACAGCTATTTTGCAAAGATGAGTTGCATTGTAACTTAACCCGCCTCCTCGTATCTTCTGGAGGGAAACACAAACGTGCAACATGTTCTTACAGCAAACATGTGATAGTATGACTATGTGCAATACAAAAAAATACATTATATATAGTTTTCTAAACACTTAATATCCTTTTTTTTGTACTGAAATGTACAAATATATTGGTTTATATATATATTTCCTCTTTCCAGTTACAACATGCTGCTTATTATTGTGGTTAATATTATTTACATTATAATTGTTATTACCTGTTTTTCTTTTGTTGTGGCTTAAAGAAGTGTGCTTGGGTTTTGAAAGTAATGAGCCGTGTGCCTTTTTTCTAATTGAATGTTGGGAGTGTGTGTCGCCGCTCGATGACGAAGGTGATGATGAAGATGACGATCAGTGTTTTTGCAGAACAAAGATGGCGGACTCTTCCTCTCCTGCTGCCGGGCTGGTCCTTAACGCAAGAGAGGAGGATTCAGAAAGAAATTGGTGGATAAAAGTTAGACGGGCGAGGCAGGATGGCTTCAGGAAATGTAATCTGAAAAAGAACAAATAGCTTTCTCTGTTTATACAATTTCAACAAAGAGTTTGTGTTTGGTACATTTTCCTTATTTATCCCAAATGACCACAAGTGTGAGTGTTGTTTATCTTTTACTACAGACCTGTGCCATGTTCCGTTTTGACGCTATCATCCAGTACCTTCTCGCTTATTGACAATCAGTAAACGGTGACTGCTCTCTGTCGAACCGTTTGAACACCAAACCGTTCAGTATTCTGAATTTGACCTTGAAGACTGGGAATGCTCAAGAAGTCTGAACTTTTTCAAGTGATTTTTTGAAGCATTACGATGATGGAAAATGTGAGGATCAGATTTGTTACAGAAGATTTTTTTTTTTTTTTTTTTACTTGCCTGACAATGTATTGAAAGTTTGTTTTTCTGTAAATGTGCCGTGCCTTGTGTGAGCAGCACAATCTTAAAAATATTGCCTTATTACCATCTTTTTCACAATCCTCTCTTACCTGTTTTTATTATTATCAACACTGGCTTTATTTACATGCATCAACAACCTTGTTTTTATTCCATTCAGTAACTTACAATAGATTTGTAAGGAAAGTGGTCAGAACAGTAAATTACTCAATGACATAATAAACAAGGTGCCAATTTAATGTAACTTCATATATTGTTTCAAAAATAATGATTTAGGGAAGTTAAAAAGGGGTTTTCCACTCTAACATAATGCAATTTGGGTCATTTTAGATTTTCTAAAGCTCAAATGTTACATTTAACATCAGAGAATGACATTTGTTGCATGATTACACCAAAAAACAATTTTTTTTGTTGTGGCCAGAAATGTGTTAACAGTGGCTTTAAATGTACTAAAGCTAGTATCCTGCATGTAAACAAAGCCAGTGTTGCCTGTGAGTTTCTCAGATAATCCACTGTGGATGAAGTGCCTTGCTCGAGGGCTCCACCATGCAGCTTTCCTCTCAGGTGGTCCAGAGGTCCACTTCTCCAAAGCCCTCGTTGCCAATCCACGTGGACCAGGACAGTGAAACATAGCTTTATGAGGAGTCGCTGCAGAGTGTGTGAGGTGTTTCTGAGGTTAGAGAGTGATGACTGACAATCTTTTACTGTTGATTTCTGATTTCTTCACTTGTGTATCCTTTTGTATTTTACTCTAAGGAGTCTCTCGTTGTCTCTGATGCTCCTTGATGTATGATACAACTCTGTTACTTTTGAATTTATATTTATACAGATATACATATTTTTTGTATCATTTTCCTTCCCTTTTTTTTCAACTTCCCTTGTGCTAATGTTCAAAAAACCATGTCTACGCAGTATTATCGATGATGTAATGTGGACAGCTATCTCTTTTTTCACATTTATGTATGAATTGAGAATTTGTAAAAATGCTTTCACAGTCCTTTGTGTGTAAAATGTATGTATAAATTAAATTAACCAACTTCTTGGACTTGTGCTTTATTTCAGGTCATCAATGTGTGAATGGAAGAGGACAGTTTTTAACTTTATAATTTAAAGTGGGTTCCAAAGAAATGAAAGTACAATTGTTTATCTGCTGATAAAAATCACTTCCAGCCAAAACATGCACTAAAATAAGTATTTTATACTTAAAGGTCCCACGTTATGGCCATTTCTACTGATCATAATTCCATTGTTGAGGTCGACTACTAGACTAATAGATTTATATTGTTCACTGTTCCAAACTCACATTGGTTTCTCATACAGCATCTCTGTATTGTATGTGTATTCACTCTGTCCTACACGGCTTGTTGGAGCTCCTGCCCCCCCTCCCTATGAGCCCAGTGGCTGTCTGCGACACAGCGAAACCCAGCCCGAATACACACACCCGCAGCCTGGCTGGGAGTTTGTGTGTGCTCACACACCGACTCACAGCCTCGCCGTCTCAGGGAGGAGAAATCGGTGGAGCTGCAGCTGAGAAAAGATTGTGTGTGTGTAACCTAACGGCTCCACGGATTGGTCCATTTGGGTATGGGCACGTCGCTGTACTCAGGAAGAAAAAGAGACATTTCCAACGAGGCGTTCTGGGGCAGCATAGACAGGTGTTTTCTGTGTTAGAGTTTTACTCGCTACAGGGTGTAGTTTGAGGGTTTGTGACTCTGCAGACCGTTTACATGCAGACAAACCTTGATAACACAGAAGGGGACGGGTAATAACCGGAAAAAGCATGACATGGGACCTTTAAGTATGAGGAGCCATTACAATGAATGGCTCTTCCTGAATATAAGAAATACTTAAGAAAATTCCCTTAAAGTTGTATTTAAGTCAATGCAATTTATTTCCACCACTGTCTATTTCTAGTATTTTAATGTGACTGAAAATGGACTTGAATTACAAATTACAAAAGGTATAACAAGTCAAAGTAATCATTGTGTAAAAAAAGGCCTTGTGTGTGTATAATTATATATGTGACATTTCTAGATAATATTGTTGTAGCAATGTTGTAAACAAACCAAAGGTCTGATTGACTTTTTGGTGAATTAAAGAGTTAATAGTCCACTATTTTAATGTTTGTTAAAAGAATTACCCCCTAATCCCACCAGGAGCGTCTGCGCTGCGGCGTTTTTAGCGATCGCGGCCACTCTAGTCAATGGGTGCTATTCCACCAGACACGCTGCGCCGCGGCTCGAAGCGTCCCAGAAGCTCCTCGCCGCAAGGAATTTCTAAAATATAGGATGAATCCTATTTGTGACGCGGCGCAGGCAGGAAGTGGAATGTTCATCCAACAACTGCGAGGCTGCACACAAGACGCTCCGCTCCCGCAACGTTTTGAAACGCGCCTGGTGGGTTAGGACGCAGGAGGAGGTCGCAGCGCAGCGCAGACGCTCCTGGTGCGATTAGGGGGTAAAGCTGATGAATAAATGTAGTGGAGAAAAAATACATGATTTCTCCTTTAAATGTAGTGGAGTATACAAAGTAGCATAAAATGCAAATACTCTAGTAAAGTAGCTCAAAATGGTACTTTAGTTGATCTAATGTTCTTAGTTACCCTCACCTCTGCTATTAATATAATACTTTGTTGATGTCTTTATATGTTGCATTTGCGTTGTGTAAAGCATTTTGAATCAACTTCTTGCTGTAATAAACCTACCTTGTCTTTGTTGAAATACACGACCCTCTGCTGCCTCTACGCGCTCAGCCTGCACGCGGGTCGGGACTCGAACCCGCAACCTTTGGGTCTCTAAACCGCTTTGCCTGTTGCTTCAGACTGTAATCCCACAATGCAGAGCGCATGGCGCGTCATTGGAGAGGGACGAAAACGATGGCGGCGGTCGGTGCACCAGAAGTGATCACACAGCTGGAAAGCGCTGCCAAAGTTTTAATGGTGAGAAATATAACGTTGTTTCGGTGCTAAGGTTTGGCCGGAAGAACACACATGTTTACTGTGTCGCGTGGAGTCCGACGGTTAGAGACGCGTGATGGTTATTCTCAGTTTGTACGCTTAATTCTGTTGGTGAATGTGTTCCCGGGGAGAAACGCAGTGTGAGCGATGCGTGGCGCCTTCCCTATCCCTGTTCTTGTCTCCATCCCGCAAAAAATCCCAACATTTCCCCCCTTTGTTCCTCAAAATCATCCCTTATTTCATAAAAAAACACCAGTCTAAAAATATCCTTCCGCGTTAGAGCACTTTCTAGAAACTTTAAGTTTTATATTCCCCTCTGTTTGGAGCATCTCGGTGCTGTTGCTTTAGCTTCACCTGTAACATTAAACTCTGATTTATATACAATATTTACCCATTTTCCTCCTCTTTAAACTCCCTCCAGCCTAATTACATCCCTCACACACCAGCTAAAGCGGCTAACCATGTGTATGTCATGAGTCTGTAATGGATACATGAGCTAGCTACAGCCTCTTCTTGCTTTCTGCCATTTTGAGTTCTGTTATGTTCTTTAAAGTACATTTCTGCCCCCCGTTTTTTTAAACATACTCTCTGAGACAATCTGTTTGTTTAAAGAACATTAGTTGATCACATATGTGCTCTCTGTGCACATGTTAGTCAGCAGGTGTCTACTGAATGGATGGCTAGCAATGTCTGGCATTGTGGATCCAGATATATTCATTTTAGTGTTCATAACTTCATATTATCCACGATATTCATAGATTTCCCTACTGTACAGGTGCATAACATACCTGTAATTTATCATACCTACACATACATCATAATATACATTTGTGGACATTGTTAAATATGAAACTAGCTACTTGTTTTCTGGATGTTATTCATATCATGGCAATATTTTCTATTGATTGTCTTTTCTGGCATTATTTTAGGGGCAGTCAACCATTCTTGGTCATGTGTTAATTTAACAGAAGTGTGACATGAAGTTGTATAATGTTGTTGTTTTCTGTACAAGGCATTTGATGGTGGATAGAATGATTATATTTCAAAATTAGTTTTGCAGCGTTGCTTAGTTGTACTGTATATTGCATTATATTGAGGGATGTTTGTAGTTTAGTAGACCCCCATTGATATAGCAAGTATAATGCAATAGCAGTTACAGTTAACAGAATAGTAACATAGAAGGACACTCTTAACATGCAGGTCTCTGCTGATGCCAAATTCCCCATCTCACATTGTTAATAAAAGTAAAAAGTCGTATCGAAAATCATTCAGAAAACACAAAGCTAATAAATCCTAAGGATCTTTGTTCTCTATTGTAGTTTGGGTTTCCTTGACATCTTTGTTGTAAACATATCAACATACAGTATGTCACATTAAATAGTGTCTTCACTATGAACATTAAAATAATTAATTACTATTACTCAAACCTACACTTTTCTTATTGGTTAATAATTGCAATATTTCATTTAATTCACTGCCCCTCTATTAGCACTGTGGTAACACTTCTATTTCATTTTAAAGAGATTTTAACTCTAGAATATGAACTTGAATTTGATTTTCTGCCAAGTGAGAAAGACAGAACATGGTTTAATAAACAAAAAGTCTTGTCTATAAATACTATTTTTTTGTTTTGTTTGTTTCCAGGCACCGCCTTCCATGGTCAGCACAGAACAGAGACAGCATGCTGAACACATCTTCCTCTCCTTCAGGAAATCCAAATCACCTTTTGCCATCTGCAAGCACATCCTAGGTAACTGTTGACAGAAATCATTCTTCTGCATAGTCTGAATTTATGCAGAAAATGTACATTATTTTTATTTTCATAGATCTGAGGATTGTTATGTACCTACAATTGTTTAAGGCAGGGGTGTCAAACTCAAGGCCCGTGGGCCAAATCCGGCCCCCGACTTCATTTTATTTGGCCCTCAAGAGCTTGCAAAAAATACAATACGTTTATTATACGGTTTCATGCCACTTTACAGAAGCACGATGTCCATACACTACATGGGTGTTTCTCAATGTCGAGTAAAGCTGCTCCAGAACCACTATTTCAAGCATACTACGTCATCGTGTGCCGCCGAAGGACTGTTCCAATGTCCAGCATACTTGGAATTCTACCGAGCCCGGCGTACTTCGTAGCGAGAAATTTCGAGGCTGCACTTGTGTAGACTCCGCGGTCTTAAAATCCCCACAATGCTTTGCGCACGGACCAATTTCCGCAAATCTGTGGCGGAAAATGTTAGGCTCATATGACGCACACCTGCACACTTGCTCGCCTGTTCCACTCTTCGTTTTCCGAATGCCATGAAGTATTCTTGCCTCGCTTCTGAAGCAAGTGACTCGGAAGACATGTGCTACCAAGCAAGCGTACTCGACATTGACAAACACCCCCAGTCCCACAATGCATCTCATTTTGTGACATGCGCACTGAAGAGACTTGCAATTATTTTAAATAATTTGCCCTAGATTTCTGCTCTCAGACGTAGTTAATTATGAAGTTATTACCCTCTCCGATAATAATCCAATGCAGAGGCAATAATGTAATATAAAACATTATTTTATATATATATATATATATTTATAGTCTTAAAGTTACAACCGGCCCTTTGAGTGCAACCTTAATGCTGATGTGGCCCGCAATGAAATTGAGTTTGACGCCCCTCGGTTTTGTATGGGCACCTTTTTTATATTTGCATTCTTTGGTACTTTGTATTTCAACTGCTACTCACCAATTTACCTCAGGATTTATAATATTCTGTCTAATGTGTTTCTACAGACCGAAGAAAGCTATTATTTATTGTGTCCGCCAAAAGCTGATGCTTCTAATCTAATATACAAGTTAGGAAAGGAACATTTATAACAGTACAGTGTCTATTTGACCCAATAAACCTGCAACTGGGTGAATGTTACATGTTGCTGTTTGCATTATAATGCAAATCATATTATGTTTACCAGTAATACCATCTACCTAACTAATTCTAGCCTGCCTTATTTTGATCATCAAACTGTCATTTAACATCAATTTAAGTTTAAAAATGTATTTATTTTTACATAAACTGGGACAGTACATTTGTTTAAATTACTTG